CATTGCGCGTAAGCCGCGGCCGAAGGCACTAGAAGGTGCTCAATCAATGATCTCCGATTTTGCTCATCTTCATATATGTGATAGGGACACCTGTTTGTTGATGTTTGGCGCAAACCGCATCAAAAAATATTGAAGCGCTGATGTTTTTTTGAATTTTAACGAAAAGCCCTGAAATCCGCTATCATGAAAAAACCCAATTTTGTCACGATTATATCTCGAGAATAGCTCAACCGATTGAGTTAAAACTTTGCGTAGGTATTCGTAGTTGATGGCCCTACCATCAAAGCAAATTTCAAATGAAATTGTCGTTTCCTTGGTTTTCAGCAGATACTCCTTGGCGAGGGTAAAATGTCTATTTTAGCCATTTTCGCGCCCCTATATGTAACAACAGGAACTAGATAGCCGCCTGAAATTCATTTTACAAAGTGGTCTAGGTGAGATCTCTTTGTGACAAAAATTTCAGCTTCTTCCAACAAGCGTTGGTCTAGGACAGCCTCGTTAGAATCGGTTTTTTGAAAAATTCTCGATTTTGTACCGCGTTTGTCTGGAAAACTACATGATTGTTTACGAGCTGAATGGTTGGCCCTCGAAGGCCTATCTTTGGTCTACAACTTGACGCAAAAATTAGCATGAGATCTCTATGGGCATCCTGGCTACAATGGTCACACCGAGAGCCCCAAACAGGGTAAGTGGATTTTAACAATGAATTCCAGTGGCGATGAAAAAACGGCTCAAGGACCCTTTAGAAAACCCGACCTTTCGAAAAAATATCAAAATTGATTTTTTAGCGCAGAAAGATGCACCGAAGTCTCCTCTTTCAGAATATATCTGATTTTTCGAAAAAAGACCAAATTTTAACACACTTATCGCAGGAAACTTCGACCCTACTACCGTCTTTTTCTAGAAATTTTTTCGGTTTTTTAAAGAATTTTTCAGTTTGAAAATGCAGCATTGTCACTTACACATCAGCATTGGATAAAGTGTTTTTATATTGAGCATGATAGGTGGTGCTAATTTACGTGATTTGTTACCTGGTTTAAAAAAGTTCACTGGAATACATTGAAAATATGCCATTTTAACATGATTTTTTCAAATTTGAATGAAAAAATCCATTTCTAAGATTTCTTTTGCATTTTTCTCAAGATATGATTTCCAGACAGGAAAATTGAAATAACTCCCTCCCGATTCAAGATATACCCAAAATTCTTTTTTGTTTTAAAGGTCTAAGTGAGAGTAAACTTTTCATCGATCAGATTTTTTGTATTTGGTTCCTCGACTGAGAAAAGTGAAATTTACTGCCATGGGGGTCACCTTTTTTGTGCTTATTTTAACATCGTGTCTGCTAAAATGCTCATAAAAAATGAATGGAACGAAATTTCAAAATTCTGTTCGACAAAAACCTGCGCACGGGTTTTAACTTTAATTTGAAACCAACCAAACCTCTCTACCGCATATACTACCCATGTAACAGTAAAAGTGAAAAAATCAACTTATAAATACTTTCATTATTAATAAAGTAAAATAAAGTACTTTTTCGTACTATTTTCACTTTTTGTAGTTACTTTTTGCACTTTTCTTACTTTGTAAAGTATTTTAAAGTACTATTTTTGGTGAAGCGAGAAATATTAATTTTTTATATTTCTTTAAGTACTTGATGGTACTTTTGAGTCGGAAAAAACATTGAAAAAGACTTTGGAAACTTTCTATAGTAATTTTAAGTAAGTTTTTTGTTTGGCTAGTGAATAATATTAATGTTTTTAATTTCTGACTTACTTTTTAGTACTTCTGACATATCAAAAAGTGATTTTTAACACTTCCGATTTTTTGGAATTACTAAATAGTAGTTTATTCAGTCACGAAGTCTATAATATTATTTGTGTACTTTTTGTGGCACTTTATTGTACTTTTTGTTTTCTAAACAGTAGCCTTAGTTACTTTGGATACGTTATGAAGTACTTATTAGTACTTATTTTTAGATTGCGAGTTTAGTATCTAGATTTTGACTTTTTCTGAAGTACTTTATAATACTTAATATACTTTCAAAGTAATCATAAGTACTTTTGATAGCCCTTGAAGTATGTTTTAGTATTATGTACAATCTTAAGATATAATAAACATATATTATGCTTTTCAAAGTAATTCGAGATACTTTCTTCAATCATGAGATTTAGTATACTCATTTTAATATCTTTTAAGCATTGTATTATGCATCTTCATTTCTAATAGCTGGAAAAAAGTAGTTTCACTGTATTGAAAAGCAATCAGAGTTAACATAAAAAATATTTAAGTAAATTTGATTTATTGCTATGCTTCTTTCTATAATTTTTTCAACTTGTTGTTTCGAAGAATGTATCATAAGTGGTTTGATGCTCATAGGCATGCCTTGTAATAATTTTCGAGCGATAAAGTATAGCGTATAGAACTCTTATCTTTTGTATGACACCTAATAGTGTTTAGGTGTTTTCAACAAGTAATACACATTTTCTTAATAGAAAAATCATTACGTTGAAGAAAAATACAAGCTGACCGATATGAAGCACAGCTCCACGACTACGAGTTTGGTCCGGTTTGATGTAAATAACCTCATCACCTACTCCAATTTTCGAATTTTTACTAACAGGAATACTATTACGACCGGCAATTAATTGCATAGGGTCGATAGATCACGTAGTAGAACATGTTTATTTTCGCTAGTTTTAGTTTCAATATTTTTTTCTCATTTGTTTTGTTTTCGTTGGTATTTTTTTCATTTGGTTTCCTTTCATTGGTCTTTTTTTCATTTGGCTTGTTTTCTTTTAATTTCTGTTTTTTTAATGGCATTTTTTATATCAAATAAGTCCAAATGATAAACGATACTACAGATAAAGTTGAGAATAAATTATCTGAAAGCGAAAAAGTATGAGTTATGCCAATATTGCTAAGATATTGTCTATCTTTTCAGTATAGTCGACATCTAAATATATTTCGAAGTTAGAATCGAGCGAAATTTTTTATTATTTTCAATTTATCTGCTAGTTCAAAACGCATCATACCATCATCGATTTTTCCAAATGATTAAAGATACGAATTCGAATATGTTGTTAATTTCACTAATCATAGATAGATGATAGCATTAGTACTACTACATAAACAAACAAAGAGGGGTATTTAAAATGAAATAGAAAAAATCATTCTCTAGTTAAATCATTGGATAGATCGTGTGGTAACCTATCAAATTATTTTTTTAGTAGTGTCGTCAGTCAATTATCATTTACAGGAACACAAGTGCAAAGTAACTGAGAAATTTTTCAAAACAATTATTTCATCCAATTAGTCGTTAATAGTAATGCGTCGCTGTTTCTAGAATATTCAACTTTTTCGCCAAAAGTGCTTCCATTCCTATTTTAATATAAGCGCTTTTCACTAATTTTAGTTTTTCAAGTGGTTATTTTACTGCATGTCTAGGTAAACCATTTCGATTATGCATTCTCTAATTACTTTGGATTAGATATGCACCAGTGCCAGTTAACTGGGTGTTCAGTCGGGCTGGTACCCAAACCGGCTGGGTACCCCAGTCCGACTGGGTTCCAGTCGAACTGGGTATCTATATAATTCAACTCATGACGAATGTCATAATCCCGGCGCATCCAGTAGCGACTTTCTATCTAACTATATATTTTGAAATTAAAGAATTTGAGTGGATTTGGGGTATTATCCTTTGGGTAATCACTTTCTATTTAACTATATAGAGTCTATATAGAGTCTATATAGTTAGATAAAAAGTGATTACACAAAATGAATACCTCAAACCCACTCAAATTCTTCAACTTAAAAATATATGCTTAAGTCGAAAGTCATTATCAAAAAGGTAATACCCTAAGTGAATCCGTTTTCAAAAATTGAGTACCCTGATCCCCAGTTTTTGGGGTATTATAATATAAAATTATGGATACTCAGTGAAAGGGTATTTTGAAATCTATGACCCTATAATGACTTGTGGAGGGTAGCCCTATATATCTTGTAATGATTTATAGCGGATATCCCCATATATTTCATAATGGCTTACGAAGAACCCAGATTTATTGGATAATAAGTTGAATTATATAGATACCCAGTCGCACTGGATACCAGTCGGGCTGGGACCCAGTCTCCAGTTCTGCACTGGCACTGGTGCATACCTACGTTGGATTGCGTCGTAAAAACTGATCTTACTCAAAGTGTAAAGAAAGCGTCAATCGCAAACTTACTATTGAAATTAGTTAAAGCTCCAAAAAAAGTATTATCAAATGTCACATAGAAAAATAATTTCAAAAGTAACATACAAAAGTAGCATTAAGTAATTCTGTGACGGCGTCAATGAGCTATCAATTATGAAAGCGTTTTTAAGTACTTTATCACCAAAAGTAATTAATAGTACTTTTCTATTGAAAAGTATTTAATAGTACTCTTCTATTGAAAAGTAATATTAAGTTGTAATTGCGCCATCTCAAGTCGGTTCAATATATAAAGCAATTCTAACCGTAGATGTTCGTATACAAATTTGGCTCAGTCATTTGTATACTCGAAAAAAGTAAGGATTTTTCGCGAAAAGTTCGAATCTCGCCTCCGGAAACAAAATAAGTAAAATGTATACTAAAAAGTACTTTGTGAAGTAATAAAAAGTACCATAGAATTGTTGGTGTTACAAGGTGCAATATCTAAGTAAGTAATAAAAAGTAATATTAAAAAGTAAGCAATATAAAAATACTATGGCCACAGTAAGTAATGAAAAGTACTATAAAAGTGTTCGTAGCAACCCACGTAAACAAAGTATGAAAAAGCAACGTTTAAATACTATATCTGATAATTAAGTAATATGAAGTAACTATTACAACTTTTTTTTACTTTGTCTAGTAATTTTCGACACTATTCCTACTTTGTAAAGTACTTTTTAGTACTTTTACTTATAAGTTTACTGAAGTTTAATTTAAAAGGTTCACTTATTAGTGACTTTTCGTACTTAACACAGAAGAGAGAAAAGTAAATAATAGTGACTTTTTGGACATAAAATTTTTACATGGGTAAGAAAGTTATAATGATTCTTCTGGATGCAATTAAATAAGCAGGAAGTCCAGTTCAGTATGGCCTATCGGGCGGGAGGTTTTACCAGAAGCGTTTCTCAGCAGGGCCACTCGTTCCTGAAAATTTTAGCCCAAAAGGACCATCCTAAGTGGAAAATCTTTGTAAGGAAGGCTCCTTAACCTACAAACAAAACTTCTTTGGAAATGAAAGAAAAAATTTTTCATCTCCAAACTCTGGAGAAGAGAAGGGGATAGTTTCTGATACCTAAGACCCTGGGGAGGAGTAGGGTAACTTTCGGAATTTTTTTTTTCATTTCCCCAGAAGTTTTGTTTGTAGGTTCCTAGAGGATCCTATGCTGATTTATACTAGATAGAAATTTATTTAATATGATGAAACTTTTCTACTAATTTATGAACAAATCTTGGTAAACTATCATAGAAAAGGGTCATTTTAGGCTCATCTTCCCATAAGACGCCTGAAACCATTCTAAGAGATACAAGGCTAATTCTTTCATAACTTTGTAATAGTCAGCTGGTAGTTTGAAATTCTATGACTCTGACTTCTATTAGTTCCATTTCTTGAGAGAAAAGTCTCTCTCAAAATGCGCATTGTCATGCAAAATTCATTTTTGAGAGAAACTACCTGACCAAATGGAACAGTGTACAGGGCTGAAACTTTTATGGACGATATGTCTTTTAGTGTTCTAGCTAGAATCAAATTTTAAACTTCTACCTTGTTCCAATCAAAAGTTAGAACGAGTTACAAGTTGATAAAAATGAGAATTTTTGCATATATTACTTGACTCGAAATTCCCACGGCTCAATATTTTGTGACAAAATTTTACGATAAGTAGAACTTACCAAGATATATGTTCACAGAAAATTTCAGTTCAATGAGTTGAGCTGTTCTTAAGATATGGACCTATCAAGATCTTTCTTGATCGAAATAGTCATTTTCAGGGCTTTTCGTAAAATGCTTAGAAAAAAATGGAGAGTTCAATATTTTTAAAACTGCTTGCCCCAAAATTTATAAAACTCTTCCTTCTACAATATATCTTACATATATACTCACTGGAACTAGTACTGAAGAGGCTTAGCGGGTTTATTGCACTGCAGTTAGCTGTACCTGCTAAATTTTACTTTTTTAGCTAGTTCTAGTCGATGGTGAAGCGTACAATTCTTTAGCAAGTGCAACTAGCTTATTTTCTATCATATTTCATGCTCCACTTTTATGAAGTGAATACTTACGTGTGATTGAAAGCGAGTGAAAATGAAGCATTTAGTCTTGATAACAAGATGCTTTTATAGAGAAGAACAAGAAAATGCTATTGCACAACAGAGCAAAGAAAAGAGAAAAAATGTGTCATACTTACTTTTTGTGTGATATAAGAAAAAACCTACATGAAAAAGTGGTGTAAGTAGAGTTGGCATTCAATTCGAGCATTTCGGCCTAAAAATCACCCAATGACTTGCGCTGGGTCTCTAGAAGGCTGTGCGGAGTCTCTAGAAGGATGTGCTGAATCTATAGAAGGCTGAGCTGAGTCGCTGGAAGGTTGTGCTTGGCCTCTAAAAGGATGTGCGGAGTCTCTAGAAGGTTGTGCTTGGTCTCTGAAAGGATGTGCTGAATCTCTAGAAGGCTGTGCGGAGTCTTGAGGGTGTGGGTGTGGGTGTGTAGGAAGCTACCACAATTGATTTCGACCTTGCGCAGGGGTCTCGTCAGGTGGCTTAATATCTTTAAGTCGGTTTAAAATTCAAACATAAAATTTTGAACAAAAATTAATTCAAGACGAGTTCACACTGTTCTAAATTCACGAAGAACTAGAATGGCAAACGTAAACCTGTTCTTATATCAAGAAACAGGGTGTGTAGGAAGCTACCACAATCGATTTCGACCTTGCTCAGCGGTCTCGTCAGGTGGCTTAATGTCTTTAAGTCGATTTAAAATTCAAACATAAAATTTTGAACAAAAATCAACAGGGTTGGGTAGAATTGCCGAGCATTATTTTGCTGTAGTAATGATAGTTAGTGGAGTGATAAACGAATTACTTTTGGTTTGATTTCATTGCTGCAGTTTGTTTGTTGATAAGTTTCCTTATCAAATATGAGATATTGTGCTTGGGGTTTTTCTGGAGTCTTCGCATCTAGTCATGATGTTTCGTTAAAGTGTGTTCGTAATGAGTTGTAGAATTGTCGAAGAATGAATTTTTTGATGTTCATACCGGTACATTTAGAATCGAAATGGTCATGTATTCAATTGGCAAAGTTAGTAGGGTATTGGCAGTAGACATAAAGAAAAAATAAGGAAGTGTGGTTAGAAAAATTGATTTGTATTTTTTTTGAATCATACAGCAGTTCATGTTCAGTTGTCTGTCATCAGTTGTATATTTCAGAAGTATTGATTTGGCCTGAAAATCAGTATATTGTAGAATAGTGACAATGGTGGGAAGTTGACTTTGCAAAGTTCGGTATGGGTCAGTTTACGATGGATCTTTCATGTTTCTTTTTTATGGTATCCGAAAGAAAGTTACGTTGAATATTAGAGAAAGTCCGTGATAAAGAAGAAAAATCTTACTTGGGAGCGGGGTGGGTTTCAACATTGTTGGATGTGGTCTTTTTTGTACTAACTCATGTCGAGTATTACGATGATTTCGATGTCCAACAATCAGTCGAATGTCGGTTGCTATTGTATCGTGAAATATTTCTGAATAAATCTTATGTATGTCGCGTTTCAGAGTATGTAGCCTTTGTTCATGTGTATAATGAAGAAAAAGAGTGTTTGTAAATTTATTCGGCTTATTTGTTTTTGAAATTGTAGTGATCCTTGCGGTTTTTTCTTTAGTATTGCGATTGTCAGTCTCGTCGTTGAATGGAACGGCTGCAATTCTATGTTGTATTTCTCTCTCTTTGACAGTCAGTTTAGGTAGTAAGGTATTCCTCATAACTAAAAATTGATTCTCGTTGCCAATGAAAGGTATCATGGATGATTTTGACATTGAACGACCGAAGAATTTTCTGAAATGTGTATCAATATATCTGGATGGATACCTAGCCGATGTATAATATATTCAAGGAATTAGACAATCAATGAAAGAATGAATGTTTCTGACAGAGAGACTTACCCATTATAGAGCAACATCAATCGAATAGAACGACGTTCCTTTTCAAAAATGTCTAATGTTGATGAATAACGTACAGCTCTAAGAAGAGCAGCTTGAATAATATTCGAAAATACATGACGTGGATGATCAGAAATAAATGGTACAACACAGGGTTCTGCTGCTGGTTTATGATAGACAGATGTGAATAAAACACCATTCTTATTGTTGATGAGAAGATCAAGAAATGAAACACAACTACCAATATTAGCTTCTAATTTAATGTTTGGATGAAAGGCATTAGCTTTCTTGATGACTGCTTCGATTTTTGCCTTTGGATCATTAAAAGTAAAGAAGATATCATCAATATATCTAGGATAATCAAAGGAAAAAATAATGAATCTCTTCAAATAGAACAACAAGAAGATAAATAAATAATAACATACCGGCCATAGATTTCATGGGGTCCTATTGCACCACAAATGGCATCTTTTTCCCATTTCCACATGAAAATATTGGCTAATGTTAAAGTAAACGGTGATCCCATTGCACCACCAATAATTTGTCGATAGAATTTATTTCCATCGACAAATGCAATCTCTTTGAGAACAAGATCAGCTAATTGAAGAATAATTCCAATTGGAATACCTTGGACTTTCTCATAATGATGTTCAAGAAGAAGTTCTTTGAGGATTTTAAGTGACTCGTCTTGTGGTAACATTGTATATAAGTTCGTAATATCAGCTGTACAAAATAGAGTCGTAGGCTTCAAATGACCATTACGAACATATTGTTCTAATTGACGAAGAAGATGGCCACCATCAATAATTGGTCTCGGTTGAGCATGCATATCAAACAAAGGTCGAATGGATTGATCCAAAAATCGAGATATACCTGTAGTAGCAGCATGAATCGTATTCATAATGGGTCGTAGTGTTATTGGATTATAATTAGAAGAAGATAAAAGCAAATAGTTATTGAATTTGAAAAAAAACGAGTAATAAATAGTAGGCGAGACATTACCTTATGTGCTTTAGGATTGTAATACATATAGGCTAACTCGACAGTTAATCGACTTGGTATAATTTTTTTATATTGTTGAGGTGAAATTTGGTTGGGCTTGGCATGAAGATCATTGAGTAAGCGAGTGACTTTACTTAAAATCTCTTCAATGGGACTTGATGATAATTCTTCATAGGCACCTGTTTTCATTCGATATTCAATTGCCTTTTCTTCAAATTCATTTACATGAGCTACATACAAATTGCCACCTTTATCTGTTTCTCGAAGAAGTAATTGGTTTTTCTTGAGTTTACGACGAATCAACTTCATCGTCTGTAAATCACGTTGAGCGCGAACGTGTTCAATAAATGGCAGTGGAGCCATATAGTGACGCATGAGACAAGCTTGAAGACGTTCAGAAAATTGTTTGAAAATGTTTGATTTAGCATTTATGTGACATTTTTCCGAAAGCCGTAATATCATTTGATTTATCATGATTTCATGTTGCTCTTGAACTATTTTTACTCGTTCCTTATATGAACGAAGAGCAGTACGATTTGGTCGAATATAATTTCCATCTAAAATAGATGAAAGAAAAAAATCAATTGAAATACTATGAAATCCGAGATATTTGTGTAAATCCTACGTCGAGAAAGATACTCATGTCCAATCATAGCCAATGAATGATCATTCACATTGAGTATCACTTCTGGAGACACGCCAATTGTTTGCTTTGCTTTTTTAGAGCGTTGACGACGACGACTAAGTTTCCCATGAAAATTGTTCATTTGTTGAAATGTATCTTTCTTGATTTGAATAGTTCGATGTTTTATATAAACTTGAACAGTACGACATAGAACACGTGCATCGTGATGATGCTGTTGATGTTTGGAAATGTCTAACTCTAATTGTGTTAACTCTTCTTGATATTGTCGATTACATTCTTTCATTTTGACATCGTAAGATTCCATTAGTATATCAAGCCAAGTTCGTTTCGTTTCTTGTAAGATTTTTGAACGTTTTAGTTTGTAATTAAGTGAATATTGGTCTTCAAGAACTGGTGTATAGAAATCAGATGCAATCAGTGTATCTAATTGATCAAAATTAGAAGGTAATAGTTTTGATAGAATTCGTTGTTCTAACAGTAACAATTCTTTTCGTATTTGTAATTCTGTTTCTCGTAGATGAATAAGACGATTGATTGCTTCCTTCTGGTCACTTGTCAGATTATTGTCAAATAATATACGATAAAGTCGTTTTTCATGTAACTCATCTTTGAATCGTTTTAGTTGATGATGAATTTTACGAGTGAATCGTTTTTGTTGTGAACAGACATATTCTTTTAAATGATGATCAAGGAGAGTTATCGTCAATTTTTCAGGACAAGTTGTTGCTTGTAAATTCAACTGTGTACTACATTGTTCTAATTGCTGTTGTATATGAGTCAAATATTCTTGTATGAATTTTTGACATGAATGAGGTTCATTGGTTTTCGTTATCTTATATAAATGATCCTTTGAATAAAATAAAAAGTATCAGAATAGTTATTCGTAGTCTAATGAACGATGTACACTTACTGACCATTGATGTTGTTCATAGCTAAGATCAAAATAAGATTGCCAAAGAGATTGATGTATATTTAAACAAAATTGTAAATCTAATAGTTTTAATCGTGAATAAATAAATTTTTGTTCCGATTTAGTCTTAATTGGATGATCCAGTTGTCGACCTAATGCTTGGATCAATAATCTTGGTGGTCGTTTCAAATATGATGCTACTCGATACACTTTATCGGGTTTTGGCACTAATGTCTGAATTATATTTTGTTTCTTTTTTACTTTCTTTGGTTCTGGTTGTGAAATTGAAAATTGACTCAATGATCGAACGGGTTCTCGTTTTCGTTTGATAGAAGTCTTTTTAATACTCTGATTCAATGTCTAGTATATACATAAACTTTATTATTTTATCATATAATTCAAGTTAATACTCTCTTACTATGTTTGTTTTAGGATGATGGTCAATTGAATCATTGTTCTTGATGATGGATGTTGGCTGATTTGTATGAGAATCACCAAATCTCTTCTTGATTTTTCTCTCAATGTTTTGTGGTTTCATTCCTTGAGCACGACATTTCTTACGAAATCGTTGTACTTTTCGATTACCATGACATTTTCTACGTCGTTTCTTTTCCTCTACTGGTTGATCTGATAATTTATTTTCATTAATCGTCTTCAATCCTTGATTATAGTCCGTATCCATGATGACAATAAATTGGTTTTACTTCTATCTGAAATATACAAGACAGTCCTAATATAATTTATTCCCTCGACTGTAGGGAGGGTCATATGAAAAAAAATGCGTTTTGTCTGTCTGTTTGTGGCAGGTCAAAAACATGTCATACGAACTTTCTTCGTTTTGAGCTAAACCGTCTTTACATCGAACTTTCCTGAATGTTATCGGGGTCGGGGAATCCGAATCTGAAGTCAGATTTCAGAAATTTTGAGTTCAGTTTTCCGGACGAAGGAAATGTTTTTTCGAGAAAGCGTTGGTATTTTATAAAGGTTGACGAAGGGAACTATCTGATTGAATAAATTGTGTGAGCGGAACAGAAGCAAAATATTTAATTGAAATTAAATCTTTTTTTGTGATGAAGTGAATGTAGTAACAGGAAGACTTGTCTGGGAAAATATGATTGAAGAATTTTAGGGACGGACAGGATTTAAGTAAAACATATATGTAGAAAAAGAATATTATGTTAATGAGTACTTCATCGAGTAGAAGGCCAAATAAAAAAGATATCTTACTCCCTCTTTTTGTGAATGTAAAAAGTTGAAATTGGGAAACTCTGCTAGATAAAGAGCACAATCGCCCCCTCCTGATGCGCTGCGTAAGAAGAAAAAACAATTCGTTATAGCAAGAATATTACTGTTAGTGCTTGTGACTTGATCGAGATAGAGTAAGAATGAATGAAACCAACGAATAGTGGTTCTGGCTGACATTGATATTGCGATCTCGAATAGGGAAAGCATCTGTGAGAAAATAATATTGATGTCTGTCTTGTTAAATAAATTAAAAAAATGAACAGTCACATACAAAACGAAAAAATATTTTTTCCATTTTTATGCGGGTACTGAATAGTTGCGAAATGCATACTTAAAATGAAGGACATCTATGTTGATCCGTTTGGACTGAATTAAATAACTTAAAATACTATGTATAAAAAAAGTCAAAATGCTAGGAATATGCGTCGCATTGAATTATTCAGTGTAAAATAAAAAAATATGTTTTAAAATTTAAAAAATATGTGTTGTAAAATGAAAAACATTAATGTTTTGTTTTGATCAATACGATGAACTTTAGTACGGAAATACATGGAAGAAAAAGAATAGCCATCCTTATGGTTATGAAGTTATTGACACAAAATAAAATAGTACGCATAAAAAATATTATCATCTGCTCTCAAGAATTAATTCTGATCAAAAACAGAAGACTGTATTGAAAGAAAACAATATCAACGTTTTTCATTATCGATATAGTTATTTGGACTTGAAAAGTTTTGAACGAAGAGGAAATTGATCTTTCCTTGATGTAATCAATGAAATAAAATTTAAAGACTATGCTAAAATTTTAATGCGTATCTGTGCTCGTGCGAGTTGAATCAGGTAATATAAGTTACCCAATAATATGCCTATGTTACAAGAAATTGAGCGAGTTCCGTAACATGGCAGGGATCAATATGAATGATTATTATTCTTATGAAAGGAATAAAATTTAAAATTAAATTATTTATGAATACAGAATATAATTCTCTCTTTTCAAGCAACTATTTAGATATGATCAAGTCAGATACATAAAAAATACTATTTTTTAATATTTTTCTATGAATGAAGTGAGTTCGAATGAAAGAACATCCTATGAACTAATTAGTATCTGTATCTTATCAGGTCAACTAATTATAATGAAATAAATGTATAGTTTTTTTTACTTTTCATGTATTTATTGAACAATAATGATAAAAGATTTTTACGAGCTGAACAATAAAAATAATTAGCAAGACTAGTTAAAGATTATTAAAGCGGTAAAATGAGTTGAGACTAAATTAAAAGTTTTCTAGATAAGAAAAAAACAAAAAAAATCTAATGAGATTAGATGATAGCCAAACAAATATCATGCATAGAGAGAACCCTAATATATCTAAAAGTAAGAAACTGTGATTCAATAAATCTTTCAGTTCACATGAATAGGAGTTTTTATGTGAATTTAAACTCCCAAATCTACAACTGTTGATGGTGAAGCCGATGATAATTTCGTTCCTGATAATGGCAATTGTGTTTGTAATGCCGAATTTTTGTTGGCGATCACTGAGGCAAGTTCGATAAGATTACCCATAGACGAGTTGTTTCCCCTGCGCATGAAATAAGAACGAACCGCACAATATAAAAATGCAATTGTTAATAAAACAATAGCAGGAAGAATCATGTATATAAGCCAATTTTTTTGCATATCTTTCAACCAGAGTGCTGGTACGGCTATTAGATCGCTTCCACTATCGATGGCTTTACCAGCTGCTTTCAATGCTGTTTGAACAGGTGTATCAGCCGCTTTGGATAAAGCCGTGTCGCCAAGAATAATTTTAGCATTACCTCCTTCTTTGACATGTTGTTGAATCAAGGTTTTGGTACTCTACCTCCCATATTTGATCAAACTCGAGAATAATACGTAGTGATATTGATTTTGAATATAGTAAATGTTTTTGTTCGTATGAAACGATTAATGATATTTCATCGTCTTTTATAGTGCATGAGGAGAAGAGAGAAGATGTTCATTTTTCTTATCAGGTCAAAATAAACAATTCAGCTGAAAATTAATGATGATGAATTTCTTTTTCTTCTGGAAGTCAGCAGATTTCATACTTGATAAGAATACGAACATATTATATATTGCTGATAGAACATTATTGAGCCTGTTTATTTTGGAAAAAAAATTGTTTTTTAATTCAGATGACTGTGTTTATTACATACACACACACACATATAAAAATTCATATTATTTGAAGAATGTTTTTTTTTGTGAATTGTTGGGTGACTTGAAAAACGCAAAATTTCTAAGAAAGATGTCCCTCCATATAATTGGGAAGGTCTTTTGATAACGATGTTTTATCGGATACTGAATACTCAGTAGAATTGATAAACAAAATTCTGTTGAAATCTGTTTCAGGGAGTCGTTGTTGGTATTGACGTTTTAAATACAGAAACAGGATCGGCAAAATAATAAAAGTTAAGACCAGCATAATATTAATGATAATAACTGGATTATTGTTTATGACGACATCTTGAAATATTTTGATTGTGCCTTGAATTGTCTGACCAGACATCAATGAAATATTAAATTTCGCACCATTGATCATCCAGACATTATTATTAGCTCCCGATATATCAGCAGATTGTTTAATAGATGTTGAGAATGTCGAACCCATAGTCAACACGATCAGAAGCTATGGCAAATGGAAGGCAATATATATAGGCGCCACGAAGACTCTCGAACTAACACTATAGGTTCCTATGTATTTGATCTAAATATCACATTGAAATATGAGAGAATCATATGTTTAGAAGAATAAAAAATTTGACTTGAATACAGGAAAAAATGATATTTAAATATATGCATATTTTATTAGAATTATTTTTGTGATACCCAGGTAACAATTACAAGTGTTTTAAGAAATAAATACGTAAAATTTTAGTAGTTTAGAAAATGAAAATATCTTCTTGTTATTAAAAGTTTATGAATTGACAGTAACTGCTTGCTTATCTTTAGATTTTCCTATCACGTTTTATTTTAATTTAATGCTTACTAATTCGATGAAAATTTACAAATGATTTCAGGGCGAAGTTCACTATCATTTATCACACAATGAATTGAAACTTCATCACAAATTTTAAGAGTCAAGATTGTTACGTGATGGAAGGATCTACACGTAAGATGTGCTCGGTGATTTACTGATAGAAGGGGATTCGACGTGTTCGCTCAAAGATACACGAAATCAGTTATATAAAAGTATTCTGATACAAATTACGATATAAACAAACAGACCAAACGAAGTACGTGACGATATTGGGTTGTTGTATGATGATTAGTCCATAACATCATGTGAAAAGGTTTCTATCTAGAAGTATGGAGGATATCATTGAGATTTGATAATGAATATAGAACGTATAACAACTCAGTGGATTATAAAATGTAAAAGTATAAATGAGACAGAAAGAATAGCTTGAAGAAGAGAACATTTTCTCTCTAAGAAAGATCGATATTATTCGTGGCCTTGAACAATTTCAATGAATTTTGAAATAGTACGCCCGTGATAAAGATAGGAGGCGTGGGGTGTCACAAATCCCTGATTCTTTCGATTTTTTTGCCAAAAAATCGAAAAAATGGGTTGTGAGTCGGGATATTTCCCTCTTCTACCTGAGCGACCAAGTTATACTACAGCAGTACGCAATTCCTTTTTATTCAAATGGTATAATATCATGAAAAGATAGCTATGTTATGCTTTCAATAAATAAATTTTTAAATTGATAGTGGACAAAATTATTGTCTCTATTTACTGGAAATAATTGCCATTGTTACATATAATTTATTCAACACCTCAATTGTTTTATTTGAATGATTCGTCTAGAACAGCATAAACAATTACTTTTTAAATCTAATACTGAGAAATGAAAAAGTTAGGTATTATTTGACTGAAGTCAAATGAAGTCAAGTCATAACTAGTTCAAAATCGTTTCACGTTAAGTCTTCTCCTATTGCGAAAATTCAAAGTAAAATCAAAAATGATTTCACTGATCCATCTCTGCTCTCAGATATTGTTCCAGTAGGTGTTGTTCACATTTCTGTTCCCTTCAGTATTCACTGTTAATTTTTTTTCTTTCTCTAGATGCGCTCTATGTGTTTGGTTTTTGTTTATGTTCATGCAAGGCTCCGATATCTATAGTTGAACAAATGATAAAAAGATGAAAATCTCACGAAAATTGGTCATGCTTGCAAATTAAATCGCTCATACTACCATTTTTTTACTATGAGTACTTATTATTTTAAGTTACAAATAGTTAAATTAAATATTGATTTAAAATTTGATGTAACAGAGGCTAGATTAGCTATTTGTTTTTTAATTCGTTTTATTTATTTAAATCTATTTTAAATTATATTTAAACGTTATCTCTTTATGTCAAGAAAAATCGTCATCGTAGAAACGAAAAATCGGACGCAGCAGGAAGATTATTGATATAAGTACTGATTTTTTAGACATCCTAGCGAAAATAAGTGAATGAAAATATTCGTCGTGGCTATTGTTTGCAGTTGAAAACGAAGGAGTTTTTATAAATAGCACAATCTTAGACTTGGATTTTTTTTCTGTATGGTACATAATACTTCTGATTATAAGTAACACACTTAGATATCGTATGTTATCTATTTCTATGAATAAATAAAAGATCTTTTAAATTATGTCGCTGCTGTGTCGCCATGAATGATCTATGAATTATAAGATGTCTACACAGAATGCAAAGAACAATATGAAATCGATTGCTTTCCAAAGTAAATAGTACCAACACTTGATTAAGTTCCATTTACTTTAACTAGAATATTTCATAATATCTTTCAAAAGGAACGTAACATTATATAGAAAATTAAATTTTTAGTTATTCATCTAGACGAAGTGAAAATATTTCAATCAAACTGTTTGTCATATGCTGATAAGTTGTTATTGCAAGCACAGAAAATTCTTAGAATATGCTTTACCTGAAATAAAAATGTTGTCTTGATTGCTCATATCTCCTCACGAATAAATCCATTTAGAAGAGGTGAAATTCAGCAAAAATTTAGACACAAACGCAATGCTACTTGATTATAAAACTAAATCTGAAAAGATTTTTAATAAAACTTTTTTTTATCCTTTATCTGAAAATCATATTCACGATTCGGATTACCCTATGAGTTGAACACTTTGAATCGGTAAATTATACTGAGTAAAATTATTCAAATACATTGAAGTTACATGTAGAAATCTGTCGTTTTCTTGCTCATATATTGTAAACTTTTTCTTCGGTTCCTTACTAACGTTCAAAATTTTAATTATAAGATAAATTAAGGCTAAAGTTGTATTGGTGAATACACAGTCAAATGAATGAATTGATTAAATACAAATTTATTTGAATAAACTTCATATATTTGAAGAGGAAACTACAAGTACTAGCATAAAATCATGTAATTACAATGAAAAAGAAATTATAAGCGAGACACAAGATAAAGAATACATCCAAAAGGAAATTTAAATGCTAATTAATTCATGCGCACTAAATGAGTTATATAATAAAAATTAACGATATGACTAAGTCACATCTTGTTTCTTCAATCATTTCAAACGATTGATAATAATGTAAGATTCTATGATGATGTGGTGTTACCTTTGTCAACCATGCTATTAAATCTGATCTACAGTCAGACCCTTGCTCAATGAATCCTTATTTTTTCTAGGAGATATATAAAGCCAAACTGTAATAAACTGAACAATGGTCAGTAAACTAAGAATCATCATAAAGAAATAGAAGAGCCACTTTTCTGGTAAATTCTCCATACAACCAAAAACATTGTTGACCCAATCGCGTATTTTACTTAAAGAAAATATAAACATATATGGAAACGACGTTTGACAGCAATCTTTCTTCATATATAAGTGAATGTTGTCATATGGAAATGAATATACACAGACGAGCAAGAGACACATGATAACTAATTGACTGGTACATAATACTTTCATGATTTAATGATTTAAATTGGTAAACGTTTTCTTGTATGAATTATTCTTGTGATTTCGTATATAGAATAATGAGGGAACTTGTAACAAAGCCTTTTATAGCATATAAGAAAAGGAGAAGGCTCTGTTTCATTCCTTATCAAATTATGTAAACATGTAAATCATACAGTCACGCATTTAAAGAACAGATAATGAGTATCGAACTAACTGTGATGAAAATTATGTAATAATTCTACGTCATCTGAGAAGAAGAATTCTTAATAGTTTTATCTAATGACACCAAGTGAACTATTCGTATTAAACAGGATCAAACATCTATTATGTTAATAAAATATTCACTATGAAAAATGTTCACTATTTTAGTACACGGAAAGTTCAATGATATATCTTTTTAGATCTAGAATAATTCATATATATCTGTAGATTTGCTCGTATACAGTGAATTGGTCGTTCTAAATATTCAATGATGAGGTACTTTAACGTGCAGAGTAACAGTTATCATGGAAAATCTTCTTTTAAGCTGAATGTTTATATTGAGTTGCATAGGTTAACTAAGAAAGAGTGATATTCGTTTCAAGCCTTTGTGCTCGTTTGACAGTTAAGTTTAATATATAAAAAATACTATAATAGTATTGAGACGAGCGTCTTTAATAAGTTTATAGAAGGAAGAAATAATTAGAATTAACGTGATTCTAGCTAATATACATATTATAATGCAGTATGTCGGTGTTATTCGTTTTATCATTTACTAGAAAGTAAAGTAATATTGATTTATGGGCCATTAAACTTTAAGACGCACATGTATAGTCAGAAACTATAATCATGTTCCGAAAGGGATTGCAGAGATAATATACGTACGATCAAGAATAAATGCTCATTAATATTACGTTAAAAAGAATAAAGATTATTTATAACCAATGAGACTGGATGTATTTTTATCGATGAATTGCAACTGATGTAAATTACTGTTAAAGATAAAGAAACTAGAGAATTTAATTTATTAATGTGTTGTATGTTTATATTTAAACAATTCAAATTTATTACTGTACATTAAATAGAGAAATTTTGACGGACAAAGCCTTTTTATCGGATAGTCATCGCAATTGATAAGAGCCATCAGTACTATAGTCAATATTATTTAGGTTGATCAGCTGTAAAAATTTATCGATTAACAATTGTTTTCATTTTCTTTCTCGCAATATATTTACTGCGTCAGACAGGTGTAAGCTGATAGATAGGAAAATAATAAGCAATCATGATTTTATATTTGACTTTAAATCAAACGGCATATAGTACAAGTAACGCTCGTCGCTGTGCGATTCGCTTAACCCTCGACTGAGGAGTTCAAAGCAAGAGCAAGACCAAGGGTATNTACTAAAAGATAGTAAGTACAATTTTTCGAGAGCTACTTACTATTAGTAACTCTAACTATCTATCATTTTTTCAGAAGTGATACTTACAGGTTTTTCAGCGCTGTCTGGAAATGGTATTTATAGCATTTATGAGACACAATTTAATACGAATGTTGAAGTTTATGGACAGATTTGGATAGTATTTTTGGCATAATGTCAATCAGTTCTTGAGAGAGAGAGAGAGATGTTCAATCAGGTCAGCTCTTTTGAAAGGAGCTGTTGAAAAAGTTCAGCTCAGGAACGAGAGCTGTTCGATCAGATCATACCGAAATGAACTTTCGAACAGTTCCCTCGCTCAGAACTAGAGCTGAACTATTGCACCCCTAATCTGCATCTAAAAGTGCTACTTCGCGCTAACGTTTTGATTCAATGAAGTAATACAAAGATATGTATCGTAAAATTCTAATTTGTAGATCACGGTACTTGTAACAATATCTGGAAATGCTCTGAGATGCGTAATATGAAAATAATGTCTTTCAACAAAAACTTATTCAGAATAGAAACAAGTATTATTCTACAAGACAATAGTAATGAGCTGCAAAAAAAATATTTCAATTGTCCGAATCGGATATGTCATATCCGAGATGGTTCTCATGGACTAGTTCAAATGTGTCTCACGTCAGTCAGAACACATTTATAACAAAATATTAACAGAAAAAGTGCTTAAAATGAAACATGATTTCATGGTCAAATCTATGGGCCATCCTAATTACATAGTACCATAAAATTATTTAATTACGAGTATGAGATAGTATTGTAGCGGAGTTTGTTTATTTGTGAAATTCGATAAATAATCATGAGTTACAAAGATATTAAATTTATAATGAAAAAGAGGAATATATGATGAATATATAGAACAAAAGTAGTACCTGGATATTTCGCATATCATTTCATATGACAATAACAAAAGAAACTACTGCTAATACATGCAACACAAAAAATAAAAAGCATTCAAATGTATAGATCATAGAGTAACTAATATAGAAAAGAAAATCATACACATAAAAATTGACACAAACTAGAGTAGTTTTCATGCAAAGCAGAAAAGGCGTTACAACCATTCTGGAAAACGTGCTTGGGTCTCTAAATATAGTTTATCGAGTCGTTCAATTTCTGTCAGTTGTGACTTGCTGGGTTTAATTAACAACACCTTGTTATCAAAATATCGCAAAATAACCAAATCAGTTAAGCGTTTTACCCGCGACAAGGGTACATAGACTGCAGCAATATCATCGGTTTCATTTGGTAGTTTTAAATCAATTACAACTTTATTTAATGTTTGACCTTGACTCTTGTGTGTTGTAATGCAATAAGCTGGTACAAGTGGTAATGCACGCCGTTTAATGGATAAAACTGTTTTTCTATTTGATTTTGGCTTCTTATCTTTTGGAAGCATATCGCCTACATCGACTCGGAATGTTTGTTCCATTACCGGTATTGGAATCAGCTTTGACTGGAGTTGTTCTAAATTGCATTCTATCTTTGATTTGCTAATTTCCACCAAAGCGTACAAAGGTCGATGAACATATTGTGCATTCTTGGAAAATTCTTCCGAAATAATATCAGTTGACACCGAATCTTCCTGGTAGACAAGCTGCCGAAAAATTCCGTTCACACCATTGATAAGACCCAATTCAATCGCAATATTTTGCGTTAAAATGACAGGCATTCCAGGAACAAGAGGTAATAGACCTGGTAGATGCTCCGTTTTGCTATCAGATAATTCTAATAATTTTTTAATAAGTGCTCGGTCTTCAATTGGTTTGCCTTTGCAGGTATCTTGGGCAACGCATACTATTGGTGTTTGTCCCGTTTGTTGTGCTTTGTGACTAACTGCCTTGTGGTTTAATTGTGTTCGTATTTCGTTACGAAATACGAGAATCGGAGCCTAAAAAGATGAAGATGGTGAATTGTCTAAATTTAGAAAAACAAATTTACTTTATTCCATGGTGAATCACTTAACAAGGGTACGGAAGATTGCCCAACTACTCGTGTTAACAATAATTCGTAGTCATCGTAGTTACATTCTCCATGACGAAGTCGTTCGAGTAGCTGAAGATAACGTAGATCTTCTGTTCTCATCTGTTGAGTAAGTTTGACCACACAATTGATTTGAAGAATTAAAGAACGTGCAACACGTTGTTGAATTTGTTTTTCAGTTGCTATCTTGTTTGATTTACTTTTAACCGGTAAAGTGAAATCTGTATGTAGAGGTACATCATATACAGGTCG